ACCGGCGAGTGCGCCCCGCGGCTCAGGTGAGCGCGCGGTCCCCGCCGGCGCGCTGTTCCCTTCCCCCGGGCGGCTGCCCGGGCTGCCCGTTGTCTTGGCGACGGCTCCTGGCTTTGACCTCTGAGTTGCAGGAGGGGTTATTTCGGGCGTCCGCTCCGGCCCCGGCCTGGCCTGACGGCTCCCACTCTTCCCGGGGTTTGCGGAGCGAGCCTGGGCGCCCAGCTGGCCCTCTGCGGCCGGGGCTTCTCGGCCTCGGGCACGTGGGTGAGTACGGACGCCGCCGACAGGAGCGTGAGCGTGGTGGGATGGGGGCGGGGGACCGGGAGCCCGACGCGGGGAGACGGGAAGATTCTTGGACCCTGACCTCACTTGCGCTCCCACCCCTGGACCGGGCTCGAGGGACGGGCAGGGTTAATCTTCAACCCGCTTAGGTCTTCTCTGGGCTTGTTAGCGATTCTCAAATCTCACCCTGCGGGTTTGGGCCTCGCTGGGCCTCCGGGGCCCGGCACAAGGGCAAGCTGGCCGGCAACCCAGTTGACCTTTACCTGACGGTCAGGCTCCCTCCATGCTGGGCTGGAAATACGCGTCACAGTATGTGCGAGACACTTTTGCCTCTTTCATATGCCTGCCCTGGGGATGACTTGTTAGAGTATCTAGCTTCTTGTCATCGGCAAAGGCACGTGCTGCGTTCCTGCTGCCTTTTGGAGGCGGGTGGGTGGATGACTGCCGTGGTTTTACATTAGTGTGTTGCTTGAGCTTTCGTTCATTCATTCAACAAACTTTTTGGAGCATTTTATTTAAGACCGGGCTGGGTGGGAGATGTGGGGGGATGGATAGGGTACAGTGGGGCACAGACATCGTCCTTGCCCTCTTGGAGCCTAAAGTGTTTTGAGGATTGCAGACAAGGGGGGAGGGGGGGAGTAGGCCAGCACAGTGCTGATGCAGAGGAAATGGTTATAATGGTTATAAGTATTAAATAAATGAATTCATTGACTCACTTGAAAATGATTAGAATGTGATTAGGAGGACAGAGAGACCTTGTGCTGCATGTGACAGGTAATAGTTGTGAACTCATACTTGATATGTTTTAAGAAAAGTTGGAAACCTGAATGGAGAGTTACTGTTTAGGGAAAGTGCTTACTTATAAAGAGAGAACTTGCTTAGGAGATGGAGAAGTATTAGATTTGAGATTCTTCAGGGGGTGTCTCTTTTAACAACTTCTAGATCTTATAATTTCACAAATCTCTGAGTATAATCTTAGAGTTTGCAAAAAAAATGCGGGGTGCCCTTCTAGGTAGTGAAATGCCAAGCTGATGGGAAAAAAAAATAGCAGCTCTCCCCAAATTCAGGATTTGTACAGAAACCATACACCCTCAGCAGTGTGTTCTTTCCACCAGAAAGAGTGCAGGATTTGAAATTGGAGGGCCTGGGTTCAAAATAAGTGGCTGTGTTATTTGGGGCACTTTAATATAATGACCCAGAGCCTTTGTAGCCTTAGACAAAAATCCGGGCTGAGAATTTTTACCTCATAGATGTGTTATGATGATCAGATGGTGACTACTGTGTGAATTGTCCAGCCGAGTGCTTGGTGCTAAGACAAAGGAGACGGGAGGGGAATCTTGGAGCTGCTGCACTTTTTTCCCCTGATGATGGCCCATTATAGTCTTAGGTCCATAGAATGCTGGGATTTCTCCAAAGAGAACTGGACTCAGAGAGAGAAAGGGAGAGAGTCTTCTCAGCATTGGTAAGGTTTTGATTTTCCACTTTAGAGCAGAGGTAGCCAAGCTGCAGAAGTATCTACAGGAGCACAAACAGAATTTTTTAGTTGAGACTTGCACACGTTGCTTAACTCTCTGATAATGCCATCCGCTTCAGGGGGTGGACATGGAGAAAGTCTTCTTTCCCATTCTTGGAAGGTTGGCAAACTGTAGAGGGAAGGCCTGTGGTCAAGAATAGGTTTGAAGCTTTATTGGGTGAGGCCCAGAGGTCCCGTCATAGGGAACTCTGCCATATGTGGTTGCATAATTGTCAAAAAGTATAGTATGTGAAGTGGAGCCTTCTCCCCTTCCTAACAATTGAATCATTCTAAATTTTCTGGATTGTTTCAGGGACCCAACTGTTGAATAAAGCAAGGTACTCTCTTGCGTTACTCTGCATGGGGTGGATGCTCAGTAAATTGTGCCAGGTTGCCTGGTAAATGGGGAGCCTGATAGGGGGTTCATTTGGTGGGGAGGGGAAGCTGGCGTCTCCCTAATGCTGCCTTGTGCTCTTCTACAGATGTCATGTGGCCTGTGTTTTGGACCGTGGTGCGTACTTATGCTCCCTATGTCACATTTCCTGTGGCCTTCGTGGTCGGGGCTGTGGGCTACCACCTGGAATGGTTCATCAGGGGAAAGGATCCCCAGCCTGTGGAGGAGGAAAAGAGCATCTCAGAGCGTCGGGAGGACCGAAAGTTGGATGAGCTGCTAGGCAAGGACCACACCCAGGTGGTGAGCCTTAAGGACAAACTGGAATTTGCCCCTAAAGCTGTCCTGAACAGAAACCGCCCGGAGAAGAATTAATAGAGAACATAGGGCCTCATGGGCCCTTCCGTAGGCTGTGACTGGTCCTGCCACCATGTTGACCCCGCTCCAGAACCTATATCTGATTTGCACTGTTGCTTATTCTGGCCCCTCCAGCACCACCCAGCCACGCACATACTGGGTGCTCTTCTGTGGTCAGGCAGACAGACACACTAGCAGCTGAGGGGCCAGTCGAAGAGGAAGGCCTGGAGGGTTCTGGCCTGCAGGCTGTATCTGTTGTATGGTGGCCACAACTGCCCACGCTTCTGGGCGCACTGCTGGAAGTAGGGATACGAAATGAACATTGGCTGTCAACCTCTGCAGGGAGGCAGTTTGACCTTAAGCCGAAGTGCATGGGATTGGGGTGTTGCCATAAGAGAGATACCACATGTCTGGTTCCCGTTTGCATGGGAAGAATTCAGAAACCTACCTGGCTCCTTCCCTCGTTTGCCCAGCCCTTTGTGCTCACTCTTCCTGAAATCCTGTCCTACCAGCTCAGGAAAGCGGGGATTCTCTGGGGAAGGAGAACATTTTTCTGTTCTTCGCAGTCCAGGCTGTTCACCTCGGGGCAGGTGAATTTGCTTGAAAATTATCACCATCTTTCACCGCCCCCTCCCCATCACTGTATAGTGCAAAACTTGATTAAAGTGGCATCTGAGAACCATATTGATTTAATGCTATCTTCCAGGTTGTGTTTGGGGTCTCCTTAGGAGTTATGCAAGTGCAAGCATTTCAAGGTAGGATAACATTGGCCTTTAACTAAGGACTCCAGGGTACTGGAATCTTTGTTTTACTAGTGTGGTTGCACTGGGCCCGGGAGGTGGTGAGTCCTGGAGGCACAGCTCCCAGAAGCTTTTCTACTATGGTAATAAGAGGCTTATTGGACCTTTCAGAATCTAAATTAGAATAGACCAGGGAGCTTAACAGTTGCTGTCAAGTTTTCCAATTTCACACACACACTTTTCCCTATAAAAGTAATATATGTACTTGAAAGAACAGTTGGTAGGGTTTTAAAAAAGGGCCCTAGTACAAGTAACATGCTAATACTTTGTTATGTTTTTAGCAATTCCCCATTGCTGGAGGGCATTTGGGTGGTCTCTGGTTCACTAGTATAGATAGCACAATGAGTATCTTGTCCTGCGTTTTGGATTAAATGGTAGGAATAGTAAATGGCATTTTGGATGAAATGGGATGAGCAGTTTTAAGGGTCTGGACACATAATATCAAATGCCTTTCCGAAAGGGCTATAGAAATTTATACTAAAAGCCACCACCTAAGATGCTGCTGGGTCCTGGCCAGTGTGGCTTAGTGGGTTGGAGCATCATCCCATACACCCAAAGGTTTTGGGTTTGATTCAGGGCACATACCCAGATTGTGGGTTGGCCCCTGGTCGGGGTGCATTCGGGAGGCAACCGATAGATGTTTATCTTTCTTCCTCTCCCTTCCTCTCTCTCTAAAATTGATAAAAACATCCTCAGGTGAGGATTAATAAAAAAGATGCTGCCAGTGAGGTAGGAAGGGGAGTGAGAGCAGAGGACAGGAAGAGGGAGAAGAACCTATTGCCTGATGAAGTCAACTGATGTTTAACCTAAGTGAGCAAAGGCAAGTCATGCACATTTGATGAGGAACGAACTGCCTTTACAAAGGGGAAAGGTGTTTGCCTGCTTCATGTCGGGATCTGAGGCCTGACGGTGTTCATAGGTGATGAAGGTAGAATCCCTGACCAGGTGGAGATCCCAGCTGTGGAGGTAGAGGAACTGGGAGGATGTGGAAGGTGGTCGCCCGGGGAGGAGGGAGCAAGTCAGGTTGCCCAGGCCTAGTGGGAATGTTGGCATGAGCTGCTGTTGCTTCTCAGGGAACAAATCTGATAGGGAGTATGGAGAAGGAGTGTCTGCTACCCAAGTAAGGGTGGGATTTCTGGTTCTGAAAGGATATGCCAAGCTCAGCTTGTTTATAGACCTCATTGGCAGACCAGTGCTGCCCCTGTGTGGCAGTCCTGAGTATGACCAAGCCTGGGATCCTTTCCCTGGGCTCAACTAGGAGTAGCTAACCGGGATGCCTACAGGGGTCAGTCAGGTGGCATAAATGATCACACCAGGCCAGGCACTATAAAGTACAGGCCTGCCTAAAGGGGGCAGTCGCTACTCAGCATCTTCCAATTTGTGCTTCTTGCCCAGTGATACAATTAATAATAATGAATAATTAATAAATTAGTAATAAATAATAATTAATTGTTTTTGGCAATCTAACCATTTGTGGCAAATATTAGATCCTGGGAGTGGTTTCCCTTGAAATAGTTTTGAGCATCCTGTACATATGTAGTGTAGTAGCCTAAGCATAACATTAGCGGACAGAAAAGCTACAGAAACAACACAAAAATTTTTTTCCCATAGACTAAGACATTTTTGGATTTTCAGATATTCTAGAATAACCCTGTCACTGCCGGTGTACCACCTCCCAGGGCCCAGCTGAGGAAGCCCTCCCTTTGGAAATCCAAGTTGCTCCCTTCTTCCAGGCTCACTTTAATTGTGCCCCCTTTTAAATAATTTTATTTCCTAGGACTTGCCCTCACTCAGTTCCTGCCTCCGGCAAGTCTATTAATATTCTCGGCTAGCTTTCTTTCCCACGGGCTGGCTGAGGTCTACTGCCGCTGTGCTGCTGTAAATCATGCAGGCTCTCTTGCATGCTGGGTGACAGTAAGTAGCAGGGTGGGTGCAGATGCCAGCAAAGGCAGGCAGGACAGGGTGCTGGGCCAGGGCACCAACTGATTTTCTTCCATGCCTGCTGATTCACTCTGAAGGCATAGGACCCTCTCTTGGGCTGGCCCAACAGTCATATTCACTGAAACACTTTAGTAAGTGGACGTGCTTGGGGCTTTTTGCCTTCCCCGCCTTGGGTCTCTTCCCAGCCCAGTGACGGTGGTAGCTTAGAGCAGGGTTATCCTGTCTGAATGCGGCAGGAATCACTTCTCTCCCCTCAGCAGCCTGGTGTCTGGTGCTTTTCCATTCTCTCTGGAGCCTTTCCTGTGCCTGCTGCTGTGTTAGCACAAGTCTGCTGGGCAGCTGCCAAGACAAGCCTGCCAGGGAGCCTTTTGACTCTCGTGAGCTTCCTAGGGTCCCGGCTGGTGGGGCTGTCGGTCAAGCGAAACACCGTGGGATTAGGCTACCCTGGTCACCTGGGAGCCAGGCAACGACAATGAAAAGGGCTCGCTTTTCCTTTTCCACTTGGACGTGGATCTCGGCATTTGTAGAGTGGTGAGCCAGGGCAGTGTTATAGAGAAAGATAAGTGGGGCCAAGAGTCTGACAGACCTGAGTAGTGAAGGCTGCCTTAGCAACTAGCTGATTGACCTGGGGCAAGTCACGTAGCCTTTCTGGACCTCAGTATCCTCATCTGTAAAATGGGGGTAAGGATACCTATTTTTGTTGGGTGGTTGTGAGGAGAAGGTAACATGTAAAGTTCCTAACAGAGTCCATGGCAACCAGTAAGTGCTCAATAAATATTAGCCACTTTAATTTTTTTGCAAGAAAAACCTACATTCCCCACAATAGTTGCATGTGTCCTTGCGATCCTGGTGAGGCAGGGATCCAGGGGCGAGAATGACCTTGGCCGGGAGAGCGGTCAAAGGGACCCTCACAGCTCACAGGCCTGGTGGTTGAGGGCTTTGAGATGAGGAGTGGGGAGGAAGGTGTGGGATGCCCAGGGGTGACACATAACAAGAGAGTGGGTAGAGGAGAGCCTTGGACTTGGGGGCGAGAGAACTGGGTGACCTGAGGCATGCTCCTTCACCTCTTCTGGCCTTGGTTTCCCCACTGCAAAATGGGGACACTGATGTGTTCCCTGCTGATAATGTAAAAAGAGTGAGAAACCAGTTTAGAAAGTGCTCTGAAAACATGCAAGTGCTGTTACATCCCAGTAAAACCTCCCTTTTATCAACTCGGGATGGCAGCCAGTCTGAATAAAGAAATAGAAATAAATGCTCTTTTATTCCTTTTCTGTACACAGTCTCCCAAAGTACTTGCTAAGTGAGAATCTTTGGGGGGTCAGCTTTAAGAGTAGAGGAGTGCCCTGGCCAGTGTTGCTCAGTGGTTGAGCGTGGACCCATGCACCGAGAGGTCGCCAGTTTGACTCCCTGACAGGGCACATGTGCCGGTTGCGGGCTCCATCCCAGTGGAGGGCATGCAGGAGGCAGCTAATAGATGTTTCTCTCACCGATATTTCACTCTTCCTCTCCCTTCCTCTCTCTAAAACATACTTTAAAAAAGAGTAAAGAGGAGTAATTAGTGTATCAGTCCCAGGTGCTTCTGATGTACTTAAAAAGTTCATTCTTTTTTAATTAAACTTGTTAATGTTAGCCGTGCATCACATTCTTTTTACATAATGCAAAGGTAAACCCTGGCTTAGTTTCTGTTTAAAAATTCCAAATGGGTCCTCCCAAATATTTGAGATTTTAAAAGATCTTTATTGGCATCCCTGCAGGGGCAGCTCTTCTGTCTAGAAGGGTTCAAAGTCCCTTATGCCCTTATGCCCCACTCCACTGCCCCTGTTCCCTCGCTTCCAACCCTGGCTCCACTGACCATTTCTATTTGCTTCAGGGCCTGAGCTGCCAAGTGCTGCTGGAAATATCTGCATAACCCTATTGCTGGGTGCTCTCCATTTGTGGTTTCCGTGTGCAATCCTCAAGATGATATATATATTTTAATCAAAGCTCCTCAGGTTCCTCACCCCATCACTGGATTCCTCACCCTTTGCTTTGTGCTGTCTTCCACCACCACCACGGTGAAGTCATTTTGGCTAAAAGCCTTTGCAGTTTCAAATCTCATATTCTCATTTTGGTCCTAGTAAATGGTGGCTCTCTGCAGTACTCAGCATTCTTTATGGAATTCTCTCTTGATATCAGCACCATGTCAGAGTCCTGTTTCAGCTCTCCCCACGCTTCTAAATGGCAGTGTTCTTCCAGCTTCATCCTTGGTTTTCTTCTTGCTGGACAGTTCTGGCATCAGCCACTACCTGTATCTACCTTGATGACTCCTAAGTACCTATCTCTAGTTGTGGACTTCCTCCTAAACTCTAGATCATTCTCTGAAACAGCTTACTACACACATCTCTGTCTAGACTTCCCAAATAGTCTGTTAGTTAAAAGTCTTGACCTGGGTTTGCAGCTTAACTGTAGTCTAGTGTGGCTAGAAAGTCACTTACCTTCTCTAAGCATCATCTGTAAAGTGGGGATAATCTACCCACCTCATAGAGTGATGAAGGCTGAGAGAGTGTTTGTAAAACATGCAGCAAGGTGTTTGGCACAGAGTCTGTCTCTTCTGTTCTTTTGTCCCCCACTCCCCACTCTCCTGGGTTCCATCACCCACCTGTGGTGACTCACTTCTATATCTGGGGTTCCTCTTCTGTTCTCCATCTCACAGCCCTGCTTCAGGCCCTCATCATCTCTTGCCTAATTTTTTTATCTCCTGAAAATTCTCCCAATTTCTGCCAGCATTTTCTTTCTAAAACACATCTTTGATAAAGTCACTCCTCACAGACCAAAGCCTCTTTTGAGCCACGTGAGATCCTTCACCGACTTCCAGCCTCTCCCATCATCCCCAGGACAGAGCCTAGTGTTTGCCATTTCCTGAATGTATCATGCCTGTTCAAATCCTGACACCCCCGTGTCCCTCCCGGGCTA